TAAAACAAAGTATAGCCTATAGCTGCAATATATAAGTTAGTGTGCATGTTGTCGGACGTCCACTGACTAACGTAGAGCGTTCACACAGGATCTGCTGGCCATATGATGTCCTGATGAACAGAAGCACAAGCAGCCCGCTGGACTCAGATCTCTAGATACCTCATCACTCCTCCGCTGCTCCGATACAAGTCCGGGCTGCGGTGGTTTGTTGATATATGTCGTCGTCTTCTGTTTGCTTTCTTCGAGGCGACGTGGTTCTGCAGCGCCCCCATCGTCAGTAAATGGAAGTATTACAAAGAACCCAGTTTAGTGCAGTTATTTCACAAGTTTAGTTATATACACAGCTCGGAAAAAATTACCGAGGTCCGGACCTCGGTGACCTCAATGGTGGATACGGCCCTGCCTCAGACTGTCCAGGAGCTCAGTGATGCCCTGGTCCAGATCTGGGAGGAGATCCCTCCGGATACGATGAATACACAGTACTGAGTAACATTTTGAGTTGCTGAAAAAATGTACAAGTCGGCCGCATTATTTTTCCACTTTGGTTTTCGGGATGTTTTTGAATTCAGCCCTCTGTAGGTTAATCATTTTCATTTCCATCAAACGATGTGGCTTTCGTTCCAAACACATTACCCAGCCCTTATCAGTATAGATATCCAGCATGATTTATTTTCCCACTGAGATCTGATGTGTTTTCCAAGTGTTCCTTAAAAAATGTTGAGCAGTGTATTTAGCCTTGACGCCCCTTTTTTGGAACTATGCCACCCCCCCATTAAAGAACTACAACAGGAGAGGATGTGCATGTCCGAGATGAGACACACACGTCACAACTCAAAATACTTTAACTTAAGGTTGTAATGAATATTTTAATATACATTTGTTATTTTTTAAAGTGGAACTTCTGTTTTTTTTTTTTATTTAGGTTGTGCATTGTTTTAAAGTTTGGTAACGTTAGCCACCATCATACCAGCACCAAGCGCTACAACAGCAAAACCTTTGAGAGTATTAAACTGGGCAAAATTGTTGTTCATGAATTCAAATATTGAGTTTGTATCAGGAAACATTACATTTGAAAATGTTACATCAACAATTCATTAACAACAGGGTAACTGCATCTGTTAAAGGAGAACTACAACAATTTTACACATCAGTGTGTTCACAGGCATTCAGGAGCACTTCAGGCATTCAAGTTGGCGGCCAAGTTGCACTGTGGGTAATGTAGGCACCAGGTTTTAACAAGGAAGAAGAATGTGTCAAGTAAAACAGGAGATATCTCTGATGATGCTGCAACACTTCTGATTTTTATAAAAGGACGTTGGTGTGATCAAGATTGGAGGTGCTACACAGGATGTTTCCTTCACAGATTCATCATGTGACGGGAGACTTCTGATAGTATGCTGTCTTCAATCAGCAGTGGCTGACTGAACATTAGTATCTGAAATGAGTCACATGTCAATCCTGAATAGAAAGATTTGTTTATTTATTAAATACTTGTTGTACATGGTAATTAAGACATGAGGAGTCTGCAAACTTCAGAGGCACATAAGAACAGATTAGAAGATGATTGATGTTTAAAGCTACACTAGGAAACCTCACATCTTATAATAACATTTAAGGACTTTAGTTCCAAACATTCTACAAGATGACATCAGCAAGAACCTAGACCTAGTGTGTGTTGCACAGTGCAGTCCCACGTGATCCACATGAAGTCATGGTGGATGTATCGAGTGCAGCTATAAAGGTGTAGTTAGCGTTACAGTCCCAATGAGCAATAACACATTGTGGGGATTCATAGGATTATTATGTGCCCCCTTAATATTGTTCATGTACACACTCAACACCTTCTTTTGAGAAGAATGGGCTTAGTAGATACTAATAAATTGGTTTGTAATTTGTGATCATTGCGGAGAGGGACATCAAACATGCAAAACATTTTAGAGCTTCTTTTGACCTATAAAAGTAATTTGTGTTTTTCAGTCAGCTGGAATTAGCACGTGTAGAGCACAGGCTTTTGAATGTGAGTGGTTAAGTGTTGGCTTTCAACTGTATCAGAAATAAAGAAGAGAAATTAAACAAATAGTGGAATGTATAGCTCTCATACTTATGTCATGTAGATTACACGTTTGGGTTTAGAACCAGTGGAACAAGCTCTAAGAAGCCCCTTTCGCTCGGAGTTTGGACAGCAGCATCTCGTTCTTCCGACACTCCTGGTGACAAGAGCAAGAGCATCATCATCATTATCATATCAATAACCTACTGTTCTTTCTGCTTATTCATATTTAGACAGCTGTTTTTACATGAATTATGATCTCAATGTGCATAAAGTGGTAGTACCACATCAATTGTCAATGTCCTTTAAAGAGGCCCTATTCTGCTTTTGGGGGTGTTTCCTCTCCAGTACTGTGCTATATAGGTGTACGTGCATGTCAATGGTCTGCAAAGGCTAACATCTCTGTGTTCAGGACACTCTTGTTCTGGATTTATAATAACTAATAACAAGCCAAAATGCTACTAATATGCAAGCTTATTAGCAACAGGTAGATATATTAATAATGTGTTAATTGTATGATTATAATCCTTATGTTCAAATAATATATGTTATATTTGTGTAAACCCGGCTCACATCGCTGAGGGTGCTAATCCCAAGCTAACCATTACTTAACATAGCCTTAAACTATGTTAAGTGTTCTTACCAGGTGAACAGTCTGCCTCACATTGTATCCAGTGAAACTAATGCAGCAGCAGCAGCAGCTGATAGCTCATGTTCTTCTCACCTCTTTAAAGTCCTTGACTGTTTTGAAGTAAAGCCTCTGCTTATCAAGCAGCTCCAGGTACTCGTCGTTCAGCTGATCTCTCCTCATTTTGTTTTCCTGCCTCTTCTTCTCCATCTGGAAGAGCAGAGGAAGCACGCATCACAAGAAACACTGCCACAGCTTGTGTTGAAACGCTGGTAAGAAGGTTTCTCTGTTTGTTCTGAACAACAATGTCGCCATGTCATGTTCCTTAATGTCAGCATTTACCTTGGTGAGTACATTCTTATCATAATCATAGAAATAAAAGAACATTAAGAACAATCAATGAAACCCAAGTTGTACGGGGCGAAAGGATCCTTTCAGAGAGTTCTACCTTGATGCGATTCTGTTTGATTCCCTCCACTATTTGCTCCATCTGTCGGAGGAACTGCTCCTTGGCTGCTGAAGACGACATGGCCCTGAACAACAGCACAGCAAGTTACAGTCCTTCACTTTACACCCTCATCAGCTACACCACTCTCACATTACAAACATTCACCAGAGATGTATATTCATACTTACTGGTGGAAGTTGTCGTGAATAGAATTCAGCAGGTTCACCTTCAGAAATAAAGCATTCATATTGAGAGCACATATCATCTGGTGAATTTAGTTAAAAGTTAAAGTTGGACTAGAACCATAGAATTGGAAATGATTTCAACAATGAAGGTACTTACCTCCTTCTCCAGATAAACCTTCTTGTCGTCCAGCGTGTTGTACAGTGTGAAGAACTGCTTAGTCTCTTTATGTGTTGCAGAAACTGAAAGGAACAAAACAAATTGTTTCTGTTCTAGCACTGGTTTGAGCAGAGATGGAGGAGGAGGAAGAGGAACCCACCCTGGCTGTAGAGTTCGATGAACCTCTTCTGGTACTGGGTGAGCTCCGCCCGGCTCGGCACCTCATCGATGTTCCTCTGCAGGATGGCGATCTCACGGTTCCTGCGAGCCTGAAAACAGTCAGCCTGTCTCAGAGGCATTCAGCCTTTCACAGTCCACAGCTCAGAGTGTTCTGATTCTGGCAACTCAACCAAAAACTGTTCCAAAGTCACATTTAATGTGCCACATGTCTATGAATGTTTGAAGCGAATGCATCCGCATGTTTTGGTTGTTAATGCTTCCTGTAGCACCTGGGAATTGTTTTTAGCAATGAAAGGTGTATTATTATTACTGAAATGATCTGAAAAGCCTTTGACTCAATATAGTCAGCAGAAATAAGTTAAAAAAACAAACTAATACAGAATGCATTTACTAACAGGTACTATGTGTACCCAACGTCTCATATATCCTTTCTGTATCCCAGTGATGTGACATGTGAGGCCACATGTACTGTAGTTTGTTTCACTCCAGATACCCAGCCCTGCTGCCACACATCACATGGGGATTATTCTGCTACAGAAAGCCTGTGTCGACATATTGAATAATATAATGCTAAATCCCAGCATTATGATAACTTCTTTCTTATACTGCTGGGTTGTCATAACAATGCCTCGTTGTATTTGATGATCATATGGCTTTGCTGGTACATTTTAAATCTGCAAAATAACTGTAGCTATTAATGGAGTTAATTGAGAATACACTGCTTTCCTCTTAAGTGTAACAGATGAGAAACATCGTGAAGCATGAGGTGGTGGTGATAATAAATAAAGGCTCTGGTGCTTAAGTACAAAAAATAACTGAATGTACTCTTACTTACTTTGCAACACAAAATAATGTCCTAATTCAGATATAACTGCTGCAGGTCTGCGTCATGTCTGATGAGCTTTCCCACGAAAACAAGATGACAACTCTCCCGTAAACTGAATTATTTGCATTATAACTATAATGATCAGGGATACCGTAGAGAAGCCTGGGGCAGATCAAACCAGGAAATGAAACCACCAATATTCTTTTAACTACTCTCAATTTGTCTCAGTCTTATCTGTAGTCTGTTATCTGCTGCTTTGACCTCATTCGTCCAGTTCCTTCTTATCTTGTGTTATGTTACATGTGAAGAAGTTACCATGAGCAGACGGATCTTCTGTAGTTTCTCTCTGTCTGTGTTGTACTGTTTGTCTATCAGCTGGTTCCTCTCCTGACAAAAGACACAGAGGAGGGGATAGAGTGCAAACTGTGATTATTATTATTATTATTATTATTATTATTATTATTATATCCTCTTAGAATGAATGTGTTTTATAGTGTGTCAAATATGCTGTGCTGCATAGTGAATATATATATATTACCTTCTCCTCGTCTGTATCCTGTCCTGATGCCATCTTCAAGTCTTCTATGTTCTGCTGTAGACGGGCCATCTCTTCCTGGATACACATTCCATCATCATTTAACAGAGTCAAATCTTACTTGTTTCCGGTGCTAACACCCAGCAGTGTGAGCATGTTAGTGTGCTGATGAACTCACTCTGCAGTGTGTGCGGAACTCCTGCTCCTGCTGCTTCAGGTTCTCATTCATCGTCACAAAAGCCCTGAGCTTCTCCAGAGAGCTGTTAGCAGAACAAAGCATATTTACATGGACTGTCCCTTTAAGCAGCGGCGGCCCCCCCTTCAGCAGCCTGTATACTGCTCGCCGAGCATACATTTGACATGTGAAAAGTATGCATCCAATCCTTAAAAACTTTGGAAAGATATTTGGGATTTCACTGACACCAAATTCACGATTTCACAGTCAGCAGACATGCATTATAATCTCATGACAATCTAACATGTCGGTCTCATGTCTGCATAAGCATGTGATTTGATGTAAAAGCATCCCTCACACTCATAATCGCATTAAAAGAGCTCCCCCCCACTGCTAACTAGACATTCTAAACTGACCACTCCCTGTCTCAACAGGTACCAGATAGTACACAAGCATTGAGGGTCCTTTCTTTAAAAGTCCTGTCATGTCTGAATGCAGCCGGTATGAACATTAAGACTCACCTATCTGAGCGACAAAAGGTCAGCAGTGTTACATATTCTACCAGTGGAGCGGCCATTCCTTCATGGTGCCACAGGAGGTCAGTAACAGCTTTGTTTGGGGATTTCTTCACAAGATAACATACAGGACTGTCTCAGAAAATTAGAATATTGTGATAAAGTTCTTTATTTTCTGTAATGCAATTAAAGAAACAAAAATGTCATACATTCTGGATTCATTACAAATCAACTGAAATATTGCAAGCCTTTTATTATTTTAATATTGCTGATTATGGCATGCAGCTTAAGAAAACTCAAATATCCTATCTCTAAATATTAGAATATCATGAAAAAGTATACTAGTAGGGTGTTCAACGAATCACTTGAATCGTCTAATTAACTCGAAACACCTGCAAGGGTTTCCTGAGCCTTGAAAAACACTCAGCTTGGTTCAGTAAAATAAATCACAAGTATGGGGAAGACTGCTGATCTGACTGCTGTCCAGAGGACCGTCATTGACACCCTCCATCAGGAGGGTAAGACACAAAAAGAAATTTCTCAAAGAGCAAGCTGTTCACAGAGTGCAGTTTCAAAGCACATCCACAAAAAGTCTGTTGGAAGGGGGAAATGTGGCAGGAAACGCTGCACAACCAAGAGAGATGACCGCAGCCTTAACAGCATTGTGAAGAAGAGTCGCTTCCAGAATTTGGGGGAGCTTCAAAGACAGTGGACTGAAGCTGGAGTCCAGGTATCAAAAGTCACTGTTCACAGACGTGTCCGGGAAATGGGCTACAATAGCCGTATTCCCATGGTCAAGCCACTTCTGAACTCAAGACAACGGAAGAGGCGTCTGACTTGGGCTAAGGAAAAGAAGCACTGGACAGTTGCACAGTGGTCCAAAGTCCTCTTTTCAGACGAAAGCAAGTTTTGTATTTCATTTGGAAGTCAAGGCGCCAGAGTCTGGAGAAAGGCTGGAGAGGAGCAAAATCCAAGTTGCTTGAAATCCAGTGTGAAGTTCCCACAGTCAGCGATGGTTTGGGGAGCCATGTCAGCTGCTGGTGTTGGTCCACTGTGTTTCATCAAGCCCAGAGTAAATGCAGCTGTGTACCAAGAGATTTTAGAGCACTACATGCTTCCGTCTGCTGAAAAGCTCTATGGAGATGAGGAATTCATTTTCCAGCATGATCTGGCACCTGCCCACAGTGCCAAAACCACCAGTAACTGGTGTACTGACCATGGCATTACTGTCCTCGATTGGCCTGCAAATTCCCCTGACCTGAACCCCATAGAGAATACGTGGGGTATTGTGAAGAAGAAGCTGAAAGACACCAGACCCAACAATGCTAATGAGCTAAAGGCCGCTATTGAAGCATCCTGGGCATCCATAACACCTCAGCAATGCCACAGGCTGATTGCCTCCATGCCACGCCGCATTGATGCAGTAATCCGTGCAAAAGGATTCCCAACCAAGTACTGAGTGCATTAATGCACTCAGTACTTGGTTGGGAATCCTTTTGCACGGATTACTGCATCAATGCGGCGTGGCATGGAGGCAATCAGCCTGTGGCATTGCTGAGGTGTTATGGATGCCCAGGATGCTTCAATAGCGGCCTTTAGCTCATTAGCATTGTTGGGTCTGGTGTCTTTCAGCTTCTTCTTCACAATACCCCACATATTCTCTATGGGGTTCAGGTCAGGGGAATTTGCAGGCCAATCGAGGACAGTAATGCCATGGTCAGTACACCAGTTACTGGTGGTTTTGGCACTGTGGGCAGGTGCCAGATCATGCTGGAAAATGAATTCCTCATCTCCATAGAGCTTTTCAGCAGACGGAAGCATGTAGTGCTCTAAAATCTCTTGGTACACAGCTGCATTTACTCTGGGCTTGATGAAACACAGTGGACCAACACCAGCAGCTGACATGGCTCCCCAAACCATCGCTGACTGTGGGAACTTCACACTGGATTTCAAGCAACTTGGATTTTGCTCCTCTCCAGCCTTTCTCCAGACTCTGGCGCCTTGACTTCCAAATGAAATACAAAACTTGCTTTCGTCTGAAAAGAGGACTTTGGACCACTGTGCAACTGTCCAGTGCTTCTTTTCCTTAGCCCAAGTCAGACGCCTCTTCCGTTGTCTTGAGTTCAGAAGTGGCTTGACCATGGGAATACGGCTATTGTAGCCCATTTCCCGGACACGTCTGTGAACAGTGACTTTTGATACCTGGACTCCAGCTTCAGTCCACTGTCTTTGAAGCTCCCCCAAATTCTGGAAGCGACTCTTCTTCACAATGCTGTTAAGGCTGCGGTCATCTCTCTTGGTTGTGCAGCGTTTCCTGCCACATTTCCCCCTTCCAACAGACTTTTTGTGGATGTGCTTTGAAACTGCACTCTGTGAACAGCTTGCTCTTTGAGAAATTTCTTTTTGTGTCTTACCCTCCTGATGGAGGGTGTCAATGACGGTCCTCTGGACAGCAGTCAGATCAGCAGTCTTCCCCATACTTGTGATTTAGTTTACTGAACCAAGCTGAGTGTTTTTCAAGGCTCAGGAAACCCTTGCAGGTGTTTCGAGTTAATTAGACGATTCAAGTGATTCGTTGAACACCCTACTAGTATACTTTTTCATGATATTCTAATATTTAGAGATAGGATATTTGAGTTTTCTTAAGCTGTATGCCATAATCAGCAATATTAAAATAATAAAAGGCTTGCAATATTTCAGTTGATTTGTAATGAATCCAGAATGTATGACATTTTTGTTTTTTTAAATTGCATTACAGAAAATAAAGAACTTTATCACAATATTCTAATTTTCTGAGACAGTCCTGTATACTTTATTGATCCCATGCTCAACATTAAAAGGGGTTTTGCATTATGTTAACATTTGAATGGCTTCATTGCAACTGTGCTCAATAAATAGTAATGAACGTTTGACTCCTCATACTGGGTTGTTCTCCTACTAGTGCCAGAAGCACAACCACTGGTTGCGAGATATCCAACTTGTGTATTAAACCTCACTTATAGTCTCTACTAAGTCTTCTTTGAAATGTTTCTTTCCTGAGGCTCAAGTTCCTAAATAAATGAACAGACAGACAGGAGGAAATATACACCGACCCAAATCACAGAGGCCATGAGGATCCAATGACACAAACTAGTCAGAGATAATGTGTGTGACTCGCCTGCTGTCAGCCTGCTCCTCCAGCTCAGCCAAACTCTTCAGCTCTCTGTCCAGTTTCTCAGAGCACTCTGTAGCCTGGGATCATACAAACACACCTGCTTAAACCACTTTAAAACACCCCCCCTGATGATCACACTACTGATGATTGTAGTGTGATCAATGATATTCTTAATGTCTATCAAAAGGCTCTGAAATCCCCTTCTTGTATGTTATTAGAGACACTATGTGCTGTCGGCTCCATCTCAAAATCCAAAATGAAGATCCTTAACAATAACCATCAGATAACAAAACTCAGGTTCCTCTGAAAGAGTGAAGTGCTTCGAAAGCAACTTGCAATCATATTTTACTGTCTGTTACATTGTTCCATGTTTGCCAATAAAGTACAAGCAAACAGATGTTCATGAATAGTTGGCTGCAAGCATTTCAGCATGGTCTTACCTCAACCAGATTTCTCTTGGCATCGTCACAGCCTGTTTTCACCTCTGCATGCTTGACTTTCAGCTTTGTAAACAATGAAATACGTATCATTAATAGTTCCGACAGCGTCCCTCCCTGATCACTGCTGCATCATAATGAGGTTTATACTTTGTGTTCTACTTGCTAAGTAAATGCTGTCTGTATATATCATAGAAGTACTGCATGTATTGTCCCTTTGCCCTATGTTTAAACAAATACATCTTCCTGTACAGATTTGACCCTTGAGGGTCACAGTGGCCGTGGTTGTGATGCTGAGGTGTGAGAGCAGAGTGGAGCACCTCCTCCAGTTGTTTGGTCCGGTGCTGGATCTGTTTGTTGATCGAGGCCACGGCCCGGCGGTGCTGCTGCAGCGGGCCGTGGCGCTCCGAGCGCTCCTCTGACGTCAGCTCCGACTGCTGCAGGGACATAGGGGAGAGCACAGAACAACCAGAAAAGGCTAACAGAGGAAAACTGAGGCCCTCACGAGCCGCTGGAGTGAGTGTGCTGGGTTTCAACATGCCTGTAAAAATGTCTGAAACAGTAACCAATTTCACTTCACAAGCATGAAAGGAAAAAATAAAATCTCTTTGTGATTTGAAAAGCTCCGTTTCGTTGAGATTGAGGGGTCAACATTTTTCCTTCCTACGATTATGATAATACGGATTTTAAGGCACCAAAACTATTATCATTATTATGGTTTGAATAGCATTTAAAAAAGCTTTTAATACACAGCAGTATCTTAATATGGCCAAAGCCAGAGCTTGGCTACAACAGGAGGAACTGCTTTCTGAGTATTTCTATTACGGTCTGCCACATCACTGAAGCTAAGGAGAAATGGAAAACTGAATGTCTCTCTTTCTGTCCCTTCAAGCTGAAATAACCGCCTGACTAGAAGAAATTGAGTTGAAAAAGTGGGAGTATTTTCAGGACTGGACATGCTCACTACATTAGACATTCTTTCTGAATGGAGAGAGAGTCTCTGCCTCTTCACTAACAACAGAATGTGGACTGAATCAGAACACCTGAACTCTGTTAAGAACATCCGTAAACATTCATCTGTTTGCCCTTTGCTAATGATTTATCTAATATATCATACATTTCATTTACTTGTATATAGACACTTCTTGCACTATTTTTTTTGTATTACTTGCACATCTCAAAACACTCTCTTGCACTATTTGATCTATTTTATTTGTTTTATGTTCTATATATTCATGTAGCTCTGTTGGAGGAGCCTGGGACTTCAGTTGTTCATCTCTACACTGTAGCTGCTGTGCTAATGAAAATAAAGCCTTGAAAGTTGAATCTTGAAGCAGGGGGGAGCTCAGGAAGACGGAGTGGGTTTATACATGTCACTGAGACACAGGATTTATGTTATGCTTTATGGTATTGTTTCATGCTTTATTTCACGAGGTAAAGATACAAATAGAAACAGAACTAATTAAGCTTTTCTCTGAAAACTCTAAAGTACAGGTGGTAGCAGCTCATAATAAGAGTCGTCTTATGTTCCTGCAGTACAGCATGTCACAGTGGTGCTTGCTCACCTTCTCTGCATACTCAGAGGCCATCTGTTTGATCTCCTCAGACTGCATTCCCACTATCTGACCCACCGCACTCGCTGTTAGCTTCCCCTGCACACAGGCAAAAGAGAAAAAATGAAATAATTGATTGTCATTGTTTATTTACGCAATTTAGCTGTTCTGATTACATTAAATGCAGTGGTACAACAAATGTTTGACTACATGACTAAAAGTGCTTTTAAAAGAACAGAGCCTTGACTGTTGATTCAGGATCAGAATCCCTTTGTCAGTCCCACAGAGGGGACATGTACATTGTTACAGCAGAAAAGAGACAAAGACAGCTTCATGTTACCTAAAGCTTGCAAACAAAAGTATTCAAGATACAAAAATAAATTATAATAAAAGAAGATTGAGCTGAATTGGAATATTGTAGAAAGAGCAATGGTAGATAAAGAAAAAATACATAAAGAAAATACAAGCTTAAGGTTATTAATATTACAGTATAGTAAGTGAATAAATGCTTTGTGAAGTTTGAGGCCAGATACCCAGGAGGTTAGGTTTGAAGGGACTTCAGCTGTAAATCCGCCTCATACACAAGCTCTGATGACTCCATCATTACTCCTCACTTGGATTAGGACTATACTTTATGGTTTTAGTTTTCTTTGTATTGTTTATGTTCTGATTTGATGTAAAGCGTCTTTGAGCATTAGGAAAAGCGCTTTACAAATGTATTAATATTATCAGCAGCTCAGCTCAGCTCAGGCAACGAGGAGGAGGAGGAGGAGGAGGAGGAGGAGGAGGAGTAGGAGGAGGACTGGGCCCGGCTGGGGGGCCAGCAATCACCTCGTCATAATTACACTGTAGCTATGCACTAATTACAATAAAAGCCTTGAATTTGAAACTTGAAGACATTGGATATATGTATACTCATAGGCGGCGCGTGAGGCTCAGGTTTGGGAAGGCTAAATCACTTTTTTTTACCTGACGCTGCCTGCCTCCGGCGTCTATAGA